GCGCATGCGGTTGCTAGCGTTTTGGCCTGCTCTCTGGGGTCCGCCAGGCAAGACCAGGCCTTTGAACATCAGCTTGGCTACAACTCGTTTTGTAGTCAAGCAATTATTCTGTTCCTCCCCTCTTCCTTCTTTCCCTTGTCGGCTCGAGTCTGTAGCCATCGTTCCTTGTTTCCGTTGCTCTCGGATGGGATCGGCATCGGATGAGTCGAGCACCGGATCAGTGTTTTATTGTGTGAGATAGCGTAATTTAGCGTAATAAGCAAGCTGTCGCTGGCGCTTTGGCTTGCTCTCTGGGGTCCACTGGGCAAGGCCAGGCCTTTGAACATTCGCTCGAGTACAAAGCGTTATATAGTCAAGCAAATGTGTTTCCCCCCTCCTCTTCTTCTTTTCCTTACGGGCTCGAGTCCAGAGCGTTGTTTCCAGTGCACTCGGATGAGAAAGGCAGCGGATGAGTCGAGTGCCGGATGCGCGTATTGCAGCGTGAGGTAGCGTAAGTTGGCCTCAGTGTTCGCTAGCGCTTTGGCTTGCTTTCTGGGGATCACTGGGCAAGGCCAGGCCTTTGCAAATTTGCTTGACTACAAAACGTTTCGTAGTCAAGCAGGTTTTTTCTCTTCTCCTCTTCTCCTCTTCAATCTTTTCTGTGGTTTCCTCTTCTTTCTCCTGTCCAGGAGCCGAGGATGCTGAAGCCATGTGAGTGCATCGCGAGTGGCTTGCTTTCAGTGGTTCATTGGGCAAGGCCAATCCTCTGAGACAACTTACTTGATTAAATTACGTTTCATAGTCAAACAAGTTTTCTTTTCCCTTCCTCCTCTCCATTCTTCTCCTTGCCGGCTCGAGTCCAGAACGATGGTTTCTGTGTTTCCGTTGCGCTCGGATGAGATAGGTCTGGATGAGTCGAGCAGCGGATGTGTTATTTTGGATGAGTTTTGGGGGCACCAGATGAGTGACGGACTGGATAAGTTCGGCACCGGATGAGTTAGGGCACCGTATGCGTTGGGGCAGCAGATGAGTTAGGGCACCAGATGAGTTATGGCATCAGATGAGTTAGGGTACTGGATCAATTAGGTGCTGGATGAGTTGGGGCACCGGATGAGACAGGGCACCGGATGAGTTATGGCATTGGATGGGCCAGTCAAAGGGTGAGTTTGGAACTGGATGAGTTAGGGCACCGGATGAGTTAGTCACCGCATGAGTTGGGCATTGGATGATTTAGGTCTGGGTAAGTTTAGTAATGCACCGTGTGATTTAATTACCGGATGAATCAGACAGCGGATGAGTCAGTCACCGGATGAATTAGCACGGATGAGATGGGCATCATAAGAATTTGATTGGATCGGATGACAGCGGATGAGTTAGGCGCGGATGATTTAGGCATCGGATGGGTTTTACAGGATGAGTAAAACATCGGATGAATCAGCCCAGTTTCCTATTCTTTCGGCACCCTAAGGGGGAACCGCCAGGTGGTATTACACTTGCCCGTTCGCGCTCAGATTGTGGGGACGTCTCCAGCGCGCATAGCACTTGGGCATCCCAAGGGGGAGCCGCGAGGGATTATCACACTTGCCCATTCGCGGCCAGATCGTGGGGACGTCTTGAGCGAAACGCTGGTTTTGCCACCCCCCTCCCCGACCCATTTCCCTTCGGAGTCCTTAGAGACCATCCCGATGCAGACATAACGCTTGGGAGTCCCAAGAAGCGGTCAGTCGCCACAGGCTGAGAACTCTCCTCTCGCTCATACACCGACAGTGGAGGAGGAGGAGGAGAAGGAGGAGGAGGAGGAGAAGGATATCCAGTGTAAACTCAAGAGTCATCAACGATGTTGGAGTAAACACTCCCTCAAAGCTCCCTCTTCATGGGCTCCTGTAACGGTTCATCTCCACTGAGGGAACTGCCTCGTCGGAAGACAACCGTTTGGAGATTCTGAAGCATGTCAATACATTGTCTTCCGGATTCCAGCGCCACGGATCAACCTGATTGTTGCGTCTTGACAGGCTTGAATCGTGCCACATCGGCATCTCTGGGACTTCGGCACCGCGAATCAACGTAATTGTTGCGCCCGCATACGTAATCCATAACCTTTGCAACACATCATGTATGGTACGTTGGTCATGGGAATCTGTGAAACCTTTGTATATTGTATAAACGAATGTGCGCGGCGCTCAGGCCAGAGCCGCATTTCGAAAAGTAACCGCTCTCAATCCGTGAAGTTTTTGCACACTTGTACAGCGAATGTACGCGGCGCTAAAGCGAGAGCCGCATTTTGAAACCACCCGCCTTCATGTCGTGAAAGTCTGGCAGATATGTAAAACGAATGCACGCGGTGCTAAGGCGAGAGCCACATGTTGAAAAGCAGTCGCCCTCAATCCGTGAAGCTTGTGCAATTGTTTCAAGGAGTATGCGCGGCGCTAAGGCGAGAGCCACATGTTGAAGAGCAGTGGCGCTCAATAAGTGAGACTCTTGCAACTATGTAAAACGAATGAATGCACGCGGCGCTAAAGCGAGAGCCACATGTTGAAAACCAGTCGCCCTCCATCTGCGAAGCTCGCGAATGTCCGTGTCGCTAAGGCGAGAGCCACACTTTGATAACCACCCGCCCTCCATCTGTGAAGCTGTTGCCAATGTTTAAGCTTCAGGTTCGTAAATGGTGAGGGTGTCTCAGGCGAAATGCCGGGCCCGCGGCCTCGGGGTACGACAGGGAAAAGTTGTTTTTGGGAACAGGAACGGATCAGAGCCCCGAATCATCAGGGGTAACTCGGGTCAGGGCTAACTCGGGTTCGTTTTTCGGGATTCCGAACCCGAGTTACCCCGGACCCGAGTTACCCCGTATAACTCGGGCGTCCAGGGCCCCAAATCATCAGGTGTAACTCGGGTCAGGGCTAATTCGGGTTCGTTTTTGCGGGGATCCAAACAAGAGTTACCCCGGACCCGAGTTACCCCGGAGAACTCGGGCGCCCAAACGGAGGAGGAGGAGAAGGAGGAGGAGGAGGAAGAAGAGGATGAGGAGGATGAGGAGGAGGAGGAGGAGGACGAGGATGAGGAGGAGGAGGAGGAAGAGGAGTAGGAGGAGGAGGAGGAGGAGAGGAGGAGGAGGAGGAGGAGGAGGACGAGGACGAGGAGGAGGAGAGACGAGGACGAGGGAGGAGGAGGAGGAGGAGGGAGGAGGAGGAGGACGAGGAGGAGGAGGAGGAGGAGGGGGAGGGAGGGAGGAGGAGGGAGGAGGAGGAGGAGGAGGAGGAGGAGGAGGAGGAGAAGCAGGGGAGGAGCGCCCCGACGCCGCCGCGGCGCCGCGATGGCGGCCGGCGGCGGCGCGGCAGCGCTGCCGGAGCCCGCCCTTGGCCGGGCGCTGGAGCTCGCGGCCGGGCGCCTGTGGGAGCTGCTCGCGCCCGCGGCCGCCGCCCGCGCCTGGCGCGCCGCGGCGCTGGCGCCCGGGCTGCGGCCGCTGCGGCGCCAGCTGGCCCGGGAGCTGGCGCTGCCGGGGGCGCTGCTCGCCGCCGCGGAGGAGCAGGTGCGCTCCTCCGTGGCGCCTGCCGGGGCCTCCCCGGAGAGCCGGCGCTCCAGCAGAGATTGGAGCAGCGGGGCTTTGGCCGTTTGCGGCCTCGGGGGGCCTTCGCCGGGCCTCGGGAGCGTCGAAGAACAACTCAGGACGAAAAACTGGTCCTGGGGAAGTGGTCCGGACCTCCGGGGTCCACGCGCCAAGAGAATTGGAGCAGCCGGATGTCTGGGTCCTGGGACGCCCTCGTCGCCACGGCCGGCTGCTCCTCGAAGTGCTGGTCACAACGCGCGCCGGGAGAGATCTGGGGAGCAGCGGTGTCAGTATTAATTTAATACCCAGACATCCGCCGATCAGATTTTCTTCAATCCGCGGCCCCAGAGGTCCCGACCCCTTCTCCAGGGGTGTTTTTTCATCCCGGATCCATTTTTGATGGTCCCGGGGTCCGATGGCGGGCCCCCAAGGCCGAAATCGAGGAAAAATTGCCGGAGTGAGAAAATCACATCCTCGGATCTCTGGGTATAGCTTCTTGCTTCCCCATGGAGGCCCCTGGCCGCGGCGGCGGCCGGGGCTCGCGCGGGGGCGGCGCGGTGCCGCCGGGCCCGGACGTGGACTGGCTGGCGGCCTGCGGGCGGCAGGTCGGCCTGCAGCGGGCGCTGGCGGGCAGGTACGGTGGCAGCCTGACCCTGGAGAGCTCGGGCAGGGGATCGGCTACAGCGGTGGTGGTCCCCAAACTCGATGTCTTCGTCGAGCCTGCAGGCAAGTGCGTATGATGCTCGCAGGTCTGCGGACACTAGATGCACTCTCCCGTCGAGTCGACGAACAAAGCAAGTTTGGGGAACACCAATTCTGTAGTCGATCCTCTACTCGAAGAACGCCCCGCCGTGGCTGGACGCGGAGGCGCTGGACTGGGCGCAGCAGCACCACGCGTCCGCGGAGCTGCGGCCCCTCTCGGCCGCCCTCGGCGAGCGCGCCCGCGCCTGGGGGAGCGTGCACGCCGACGAGGCGGCGGTCGACGCGCTCGGCGGCGAGTGGGAGTGGGTGGTGCTGGACCGGCGGCTGCCGCTGGAGCTGTGGCTGTGGCAGGCCGTCGTCTGCCCGGCCGTCTGCGAGGAGGAGGCTCACCACCCACCAAACCACCCCAACCCAACCCGAAGGCTTCAATTTGCCCTCCATTTCCAGTGGGCGGGGGGTCGGGGGAACATGGGAAAAACACATGCGCAGCCCATAATACCCCCCCCCAACCCGAAATTCGCGTCTTCGGGTTGGGTTGGTGTGGTCTGGTAGGTCGTCAGAGGCCCCCGCCGAGCGCTGGGAGGACGGGGACCTCTTCTGCGGCGTCCGGGGGCCCTTCGACTTCCGCCCGGCGGTGGACCCCAGATTCGCGGACCTGTCGCCTCTGGTGGTCGTCTTCGTGCCCCTGCGCTCGCGTGCCGGCGCCTCGGGCGGCGCGGGGGCCGGCGCCCGCTGGCTGGCCCTGTCGCCGAGGCTCTTCGCGCCCTGCGCCTGGATGCTGCCGAAGCAGGCCGCGGGCCAGTGCCGCTTGGCCGACAAGCTAGAGGGGGCCAGGGAGGCAGGGCCACTGTGCAGTGGGCACGTCAAGTACGAAGTCGGTCTGCCAGCGGGTGGCCCACAGCCCACGGAGGCTTCTTACCCCCTGATGGCCCCAGGGGCTCACAGAAGCCCTGGTGCCCCTGAGGAAGCTCAAGCCTAGACGAAGGATGCGCCCCAACTGTCCCAACCGGAAGCTCTCTGCTTGTCTGCGTCCGCTGTGTGCTTGCGTGCCCCAACTCGTTTCCCGCGCGTCCCGCTTGATTCTCGGCAGGCGTTGGCACCCGGCCTCGGCCCGCTCGCGCCCGCTGACCACACACGTGCCCGCTGTGTGTGTGTGTGTGTGTGTGCACTCGTCCTGCGGCGCACGTCTGCCACCCCGCCGAGCGAGTGAGCTGTGGGGACGCGTGTCGCGTCGACGCGACGACGTACCAGCGCGGGCGTTCAAGGCTCACTGCCGCCAGTGGCCCAGAATCGTCCAATATTAGATGGAACGACCTGGCGATCCAGAAACCGCCGATCTTTGAAAGATCATCCTGCAAGCTGGAACTATCCACGCGGTGTCCGAAACCAGCGCCGAAACGCCCGTAAAGGCACGAACCTGCCGTGCGCATGTTGGACTCAAGGCCATGTGGGGTGTCCAGGTGTGCTCCGGTGAGGAGTAGCTGATCGGATAGCGACGACAGCTCGGGGGCCCGACGCGCAACGGCCGCGGCATGCTACAGTGGCGGATCGCGGTCCTCCCCTCGCCTTCCCCCTCCGCCCTGGCTCTTCCCCCCCCCAACCCTCGCGTGCGTCTCCCCGCGCTCAGACTGCATGCTCTGAGCATGTTCCCCCCTCCCCCCTCCCCCCGCGCGCGCCGCCTCCTCCCGTCGGGCCTGCCCCTCTACGGGAGGAATAATTTCTCAAAAGTAGTATGGGGGCGATTTTTTGATTGCGTTTGGCCATTTCGATCTATTTGTTTGATTATCTTTTAGTTTTCATCCAAAAACCGCCTGTAGGGGGACATGCCCGACCTAGTGCCAGCGGCACGCGGAGTGTGCGTGGCGAGGGGGGGGGCTCCAAGGAGGCGGGCGGCAGGTCGCCTCGAAGGGAGGCCCCCTCGCCGCGCCCCCCCCCCCACGGACGAGGAGATGGCGGGGAGCCCAGGCATCCGACGCTCTGATGCTGTCCATCCGCGGCCCCAGAGGTCCCGACCCCTTCCCCGGGGCCAGTTGTTTGCCCTGGGCCCATTCTTCTAGGCTTCCTAGACAGGGTCGGAGTGGATGGGCTCGGGGGATCGCGCCGCATCGACGATGCATCCCCGATGCGGAGCCCGATCTCCTTCGCGCCGACGTCGCCGATGCACCGCCGACGTCGACGATGCATCGCTGGTGCATCGCCGATGCATCGCCGATGCATCGCCGATGTATCGGCGATGCGGCGCGACCCTCCGACCCCTACTCCGACCCCATCTGGGAGGCCTCCAATGTTTGTGGGCCCCAGCGCCCGACCGCGGGCCCCTCAGGGGGGGCCCACGTCGAGGAGGAGCGCCCGCGGAGGGAGCCTAACTGCCCCTCTCGGCACCCCCGCAGCTGCGGAGGTGCAGAGGCGGGCGGAGGAGCCTTGCCCGCACGAGGCTGGCCAGCAGCTGATGTGGATCTTCGAGGACTCTTCTCTTCCGCCGACGCCCGAGGTTCGCATCAAGGCTTGGTCGAGCGCCACGGCTTGCTCGACTGTCACTGTTTCTGGCTTGGGCACGGCTGCCTTATCTCAGGGTCTTTTCGGCCGTGCCCAAGGCGCCTGCCTTGTACGCCTGCTGTTGCAGGCGCGCCCGACGCCTCGAGCGCTCGCTCCCGCGGCATGTCTCAGAAGGGAGGTCGGTCGGGGACACGGGCCAGGGGTGAGAGCACGGCCACGCGCACCTCTTGCGTTCTCTTTCCGTGGGTCGTGGCCCGTGCGGACCAGACACGTAGCCGGCGTAGAGTTGTGGAGGACGATCCATGGAGAGGAGGCGTGTTGCCGAATAGTTCCCAGGTGTCTAAAACATGTTTTAGCCATGTTTTAAACATGTAAAACATGTTTTAAACATCTTTAGAACATTTCTTCGACATGATAGACACACTTTAAAGTCGATGATCGGACTGTTAGGGTGTCTATTGTCGTGGCGTCCACAAGCGTAGAGGCGAGAGCACGATGCCTGAATGTATTGTGAGGCGGTCTCGGGCGAAGCGGCTGCCTGACCAGACGTCCCCAGGCTCCCCCCCCGTGGGACTCTTAGCAACCCTTATTTCGCTTCCTTTAACCTCGAAGGGTCTTCTGTTTTGATACAGTCAGCCCGCGTAGTAAGGATGAGCAACCTTCCCAGGGTTACTCTTGCGCCCTTGCCCCTTCGGCCCATCTCTGGCAACTTTCGCTGGCCAGCCCCACTCGATGCGTGTCGACATGGGCCTTCCAAGACCCTTGCATCCTTGCCGCGCATCCTTATTATACGGGTCGACTGTACCCCCCCCCGCCGCTGTTTCTGTCGGTGGTGAGTAGAACTGGTCCCTCCTCTTCCCCCTGAAGCATAAGTAGTAGTCGTCGTAGTCGTGGTCGCAATCGTAGTCGCAGTCGTCGTCGTCGTCGTCGTTGTTGCGTGGCGGGTCCCGCAGATGAAAATCACAATTTCCCGCCCTTGGTGCTAGCCCAGTCCGCCAACCCCTAAAGGTTAGAACCCTTCAGCGAGACGCTAGAATGGAATCACATCGTTGGAGATCGGGGGGGCGGGGTGCGCATGGCACAGCGGACAGACTCTCTGGCCTTGCTGGACCAGTGGGCGGAGTTCCGGGACGACCGCACGGTCGTGGCGTTGACCCTTGGCCGCCGGCTGGAGCGCGCCCTGCGCTACGACGCCGCCGCCTCGCTCGCCGAGCACCTCCGCGGCGGCGCCGACGGTGCTCGGAGGGGCTCGATGGTGAGCGTTGTTTTTTTCCTCCCGAAGGTGACGCTCGTTACCCAGGACAATCCCCCCCCACCTCGTCCAGGCAACGCTAACGATCGTGCTGGGAGGGGCTGGCCCTGACCCCGCGCTGCATGCCGTGGTGCGCACTCGCTGGTGACGCGGACGCACCCTGGCGGGTGCACGCCGCGGCCGCTGTTGCCGTTACTCTCCCGCCCGAACCCACCCCTCCCCCAGATAACGACCGTTATGCGGGAAAGAACAAAAAACGGTCACATGTATACACCACGTCGCTTGGCGGATCAAGGAGTAAAGGAGCCACCGATTTCGGCGACGGAATTCGTCGTGCAGACGCTCTGGCGCCCCACAGGTGGAGGAGCTGGGGCGTTGACGCACTGAGCTCCTTGCCCGACCAGACGACTTGGTGTACACCTGGAGCCCCTCCAAGGCGAGGGCCCCGACGAGGCCCCGCCAGGCCGCCGCAGGGACGCCAAGGCCAGGCGGGCGGCACGCGCGGAGCACGCGGACCCCCGCGACCGGTGCAGCGGCCGCAACCGGCAGCCAGATGAGGAAAACCCCGACGTGCTCGCGGCGTGAGGCAAATATGAGACCCACCACCCACCAAACCACCTCCACCCAAACCGAAGGCTCAGAGTTGCCCTCGATGTCCAGTGAGGGGGAGGGGGGGGGTCGGGAAACATCGAAAAAGCACATGTGGAGCCCTTACGCCCCCCCCAGCCCGAAAGTCGGGTCTTCGGGTTGGGTTGGGGTGGCCTGGTAGGTAGTCAGATACGAGGTTCTTCGGCCCGGTCCTCGCCAGGTCCCGGGCCGTCAGCAGAACGAGTCGGGAGCGAAGACTTGGCCCCGGGCAGAAAGGGTCGGGGCTCCCGGGGGCCCCGTTCCAGAGAAGCGTCGGGACAGCGTGCGGGCGCCTCGCGAGGCGCCCTCGGGCCAGCACGCGGGTGCCTCCCTCTCCCCCTTCACGCCCAAATATCGCACATCGCTGCGGCCCGAAGGCTGTCGTCGTGAGTGTTCGCCGTGGTGCAACCTGCCGGGTCGCAGGAGGCCCCTCCGAGGAGGAGGAGGAGGCGGAGGAGGAGGCGGAGGAGGAGGAGGCGGAGGAGGAGGAGGAGGAGAGGGAGGAGGAGGAGGCGGAGGAGGAGGAGGAGGAGGCGGAGGAGGCGGAGGAGGAGAGGAGGAGGAGGAGGATGAGGAGGAGGAGGAGGCGGCGGAGGAGGAGGAGGAGGAGGAGTAAAAAAACAAGTCGGGACGTCGTGTGCCTGGGAATTGTGCCGGTACCCACAGCGGCCGCCTGCCCGTGCCCCGTCCCTCGCCGGTGTCGGGGCCCGGGGGGGCCCTCGCCGCCCGGGCTGGGCCTCGCCGCGAGGCCCTGGCCACAACGCGGCCGGGGAGAGGGCCGGGCCCGTGCGGGGGCCGTCTTCACTCTGGACGCCCGAAATGGGTACCGAAAGAATGGGTACAATGCCCAACAGCAGTTCCTGTTCATTTTGAGCAGGCCTCGCTGTCCACGCCGCCGCGGCCTGTGTCCATTCGAGACAGGAGGCCGCCTGCCCAACAGCGGCCCCTGCTGGTGTGGGACATCATTTGTTGTTGGGCATCGTACCCATTTTTTCGGTACCCATGTCGGGCGTCCAAATTCACGAGTTTTGGGGAACGAAGAATGACATAAAGATAACACATAGACATACAATGACGAATAATGACGAAGAATGACGAAGAATGACAAATAATGACGAAGAATGACGAAGATAAAACATGAAGACGAAGAATGACGAAGAATGACGAATTGGGGAACGAAGAATGACAGAAGCATAAAAACTCTGAGGTCCGCGCGGATTTCTCGGATCGGCGCTCGGGCCCCCTGGCGGCGCCTCCGGTGCCGCCCCTGGCGCGCGGAGCGCGCCAGGGAGGGCGGTCGAGCGCCGTTCCGAGAAATCCGCGCGGACCTCCGAGTTTTCATGTTTATGTCATGCTTTGTTCCCCCAATAAAGCATAATACGACCCCGAACCCTCATAACACAATGGATTCGTGGCCTAACCTAGATCCGCGGCTTGTAGGGATACCCGCAGAGGCATGGGTGGTTTCGTCAGATACAGCTGCAACACAAAGGCCCCCTATCCGTGGCCCTCCTGATTTTGGTCCCCTTCCCAAGGGTCAGGGGTACTTTTGTTGCTCATCACTCTCCTCGCCCTCCCATAGGCCGAGTAGCAGATCGACTTCAGAGTTGATTTACCGCAGAATTGGGTTTTGCGCCGTCGAATCTTAAAATGAAGGCGTCGAACCTTCGCAACAATACCGAGCATAGGCGCGCTGCTCATAGATTCGACGAAGCTTTGCATTCGGCGGTCAGTCGATGTTGCAGTCGATCCCCTCCCCGAACAGGCAGGGGCTGAACCTCTTCGTGCCGAGGCGCCGGGCAGAAACGGCGGGGGCCGCCGCCGCCGCGCCAGCGGGGGGCGGCGGCGAGGCCACGGCCCCGGGCGGGGCCCGGCGCGGCCGGGGGGCGGGGTCGCGCGCCGCGGCCCCCGCGCGCGGCTCGGTGCTCAGCTCAGCTGCCTCGGTACGCGCCTCGAAGCGGGGGAGCGGGGTGCACCGTCGCCTGGGCGTATGTAGCAGCTTGAGATGCAGAGTATATCTATATACCTATTTATCCATCCATCCATCCATCCATCCATCCATCTATCTATCTATCTATCTATCTATCTATCTATCTATCTATCTATATGTATATGTATGTATAGACATGTGTATATATGTATATACACATATGTATATACATATATATATACATACATTTATATGTATATGTATATACATATATATATATAGACATACGTGTTTTTTAACATCGGCCGGCAGGTGAGCTGGCCTCCGAATAGGGAGCGGGGAGGAAACGCTGCGTGCCGTGCTCAAAGCGTCCGTGCCAACACGTGGCGCGTTGGCTCAGCTCAGCTGCCTCGATACGCCCGTTTTGACACGCTGCGTACCCTGCTCAAATCTGTGCCTCCCAGACGGGGTCGGAGTAGATGGGGTCGGAGGATCGCGCCGCATCGCCGATGCATCGCCGATGCAACCCGATGTGGGGCCCGATTTGCTTCCCCTCGACGTTGCCGATGCATCGCCGACACCGACGATGCGTCGCCGGTGAATCGCCGATGCGTCGCCGATGCATCGCCAATGCATCGCCGATGCATCGGCGATCCGGCGCGATCCTCCGACCCCATCTCATCGGACCCCATCTAGGAGGCCTCTAAATACGTTGCGTGCCGGCTCAGCGTATTGGCCCACGCTTTGGCGGACGTATCGCGTCGTACCTGCGTTTTCAGTCTATGTGTCGAGCTGCACATCAATACGCTACGTGTTGCGTGTTGCGTATCGCGGCAGCTAAGGTGCTCATGTGCGACGTGGCTAGCGAGGAGCTCCAGGCCTTTGTGGCTCAGCACGCCGCGACGGGGATCGGGCCGATCGAAACGGGTTCGGATTCGGATGGGTGCACAGACCGACAGCAGCTCCTGTCTGTTTTTGAACAGGAGTTGCTGTCTGTGCCGCCGCGGGCCTAGATCATTTGAGACAGATGGCCGCCTGCCCAACAGCGGCCGCTGTCGGTTTGGGGCAGCCTTTTCCCGTACTCATCTCTGGCGTGTTGCTCCCATCGTGCTTAATCAAGGACCGCATCCCAGAATAATTTCGAGCATCCAGAAAAATGTCCAAAGAGTGTCGAAGCAGTGTCGAAACAGTGTCGGACGAGTGTCCCAGGGCCCGACACGTGAAAACCCCCGAGTTTTGGTACTTTTTCGGGGCCCGGAATTCTTTCTGGTGATCAAGGCTAAAGTAGGCTGGAACATCATGACTCTGGCGTCCAGAGAGGAGGGAGGCGGAGCAGTTGCTGGTCTACGCCGCCCCGCCAGAGAGCGCGTTCGACGCGGCCGGGCTGCGGGAGGGCGCGGGTAGGCTCGAGGCGGGCGGCCTGCTCACGCAGGAGTCCGTGGTGGACCTCGCGCGGACGTGGCGGTGCCTGATGGGCAAGTGGCTGCTCTTCGTGCCCGAGTGGCGCGTCGACGCCCTCTTCGGCCTCGTGGCGGAGAGGCTGCGCGAGGGCGCCATGCCGGGCTGCACGCGCGCCGTCGTGTCGCCGCCAGGCACCTACGGCACGGACCCGGACAAGCGCCCGAAGCCTTCTCAAGATCGGCCCCCACGAGCCCGCCCATGGTTCGTCCTGGAAGGTTTTACGAGCCGCATGCAGCCATGATGTCTAGAACCTCCCCAGACAAGTGCAGTTTTCGGTCTCTGGGGGCCCTCGCTGGGCCTCGGGTCTGACGAAAAACTGGCCCTGAGAAAGGTATGGACTTCCAGGGACCACGTATGGAAAAAATGAAGACATCGGATGTTTCGGTCTGGAGACGCCCCCCCCCACACCTCGAAGCACGACCACGCTGACGACGGTCGGAAGGTACATGCTGACCGTACACTGTGTGGACTTTACCGACCACAGGCAGGTGATGGCCCTCGGCAAGGCGCTGCGGTCCCTTGCCCGCCAGGGTCTGCGCGCACCCGCTGGCGACTGGGGAGAGCTGCGCGACGACCCTTTCGCGACGCGGGGGAAGAGGGTGGCGCTCTACTTCAAGCCTGACGTCTTCACTTACCTCAACATTCACCGCAAGAACCCGTATGGCATCAGGATGAGGGAGAGCAGAAACATTGTAAGTATGATGGTGTGATTGTGGTCGTGATGATGATGAGGATAGGGAGTAGTAGGAGGAAGATGAATATACGGAAGGGTGGTAAGGTTGTTGCTGATGATGGTGATGATGCGGTTGATGATAGCAATATCAATTATGATGGTGATGCTGATGCTGCTGATGATGATGGGAATCAGGAAAAGGAGGAGGAGGAGGAGGAGGAGCAGGAGGAGGAGAAGGATGAGGAGAAGGCTAAGGATGAGGATAAGGAGGAGGAGGAGGAGTAGGAGGAGGAGGAGGAGGAGGAGGAGGAGGAGGAGGGGGGAGGAGCTGCTATCGATCTTTGGTGCACAGGGCACCAAAGGCAGCGGCCACGCGCGGTGCCCTTTTCCTGTCGTCACCTGGGCACCCGCGCGTCGAGATCGAACCGATCCCAGATCGAGATCCCATTTCTACATGGTTACATCTCCCGTCTCTTGCATCACATTGGTCAGGCAGGTCTTCTCGCCATCCTGCTTCTCCTGGCATCTGTGCAGTTCGTCTGCAGGCGAATTCCCGTGACAGGAGAGAGAATCAGTGGCGCCCTGAAAAAACATTGAATTGACTTGGATACGCGGCTCGAACACCGCGTTCCCACAAGTCGTTCAAAACCCCAGAGGTGATCACCACTAGCGTCACTATTGGATGTGTCGAGCAGCACGTCCACGTCTCAGTTGGCAACGGCACGGTTGACAAGCCTTGGAGGGTCAACCTAGCAGCAACAGGCCAAGTTGCACTTGCGGGACGTGGCAAAGTTGCCACAGCGGCATGCGGCTTCAAAAAACAAGCGCCAGAGAATTTGTACCCCGCGACTTGAGCCATCAGGCACATCATTTACAAATACCACCTTGCGTTCCGTGTTTTCTGATTTTGATTCGAACGCAAGTTCCACCGTTTCACAGCCCGCCAGATTTTGCCACTATTGCCTCGCCGCGTCGTCAACCTAGGTTCGCTTCAGAGGGTGGGCAAGTTGACACACATGGTGCAGATGACACGCAGAGCAGCGTTGACACAGTTCACACCGATGACAAGGAGGGCAACCTTGACACAGTTGGAAAGGGAGGCACGGTTGACCCCGCTGATAAAGAATGCGCAGTTGACACATTTATCACAGTTGACCAGGTTGAAACATGCTGGCCACATACGGCAAAGTTGGCATGGAAGCATAAGGAGGCAAATTTGAGACCCTGGCTGCAGAGGATCTGGCGCCTATCAATGAGGGTGGCACGTTTCAGCGTGAGGTAAGGGTACGAGTGGTGCGCTTGCAGAGCAAAGCGTTCTTACACGGAGTTGATGGCACCCTGGGTACATGGGATTCCCAGGCTAAGCGGTCGGCAGCTGTTACATGCAGACTTTCGGTGAATTTCAAGCCCACAACTATTGAATTGCTTGGTAGCTCCAAGCCACAAGTATCTTGGACATTCATGCAGTCAACTTAACGTTTTGAACACCATAAAGACATAGTTAATACTCTCGCGTTTGAGCAGATACGGAAGCACGCGAACAGCGATGGCAGCTTTGCGAGACTTTTTGACGCAATCTTTGGAGACACTCAACAGTTCGATCGCGCGCGTAGCTGATCGTACGAAACCGCTAGGGTAGCCCCACATGCTGGCAGGCCTCCGCCAGGGCGGAACAACGGTATCGTCATGTTTCTACCGTCTCAGAATATGCTTACCGCCGTGCGTTTACTGGTGCATCCAAAAAAGGGCCGCGAGAGACAATGTTCCATTGGCTCGTGTTCAGGACTGAGGGGGCCGGGGGAATTAGGTGAGGAGGGGCAGGAGGAGGAGGATTTGGCTCGGAATTCAATGTCTTTGCCGATCTGCAACCAGCGCATCGCTACGTGAAGAGGGTGGTACTGAACCAAGCAGCAGCGAACATCGTGATTGCTTGCGCGTGCAAGCACGCAGGAGTCACCCTCTAGGCACTGCCACATCAAATAGGAGGCGCAATGGCCTGCTGCTATAATGCAACCTGCCAGTTTACTGCTTTTCCCCCCTCGCTTCCCTCATACTCCGCCTGCTTGCGGGATGGGTGCGTGTGTGTATGTGGAGGAAGTGCAGGAGGATGGGGAAGAGGAGGGTGAGAAGCTCCAGCTCGTCATTCTTAGCGGTTCTCTTTAATGAGCAGCTTGCGCATCGCTATGTTTTGACATCGCACTCAGGGTGTTGAGAACGAATCGCGGCTATTTCGACCCGCGGTGAGAGCAATCGTGTGAATATTTGTTCAAAATCGAGCTAGGACCTTCGGTAAGGATCACACTTGCTGGTTGGGTGGATCGGGGCGTGCATGAGTGGGTGACGGGGGGTATTTTTTTGCGCGGCCACCTCCACTCGAACGCTCGGTTTGCGGGGTGCGACGCTAACGTCTCGGCCAGCAAGGCCATGTTTAGGCCACCATCGCCACTTTACGCAGGATTTGGCGATGGTGGAGGAGTTTGTAGACGTGTGTTGAGGTTGGGATTGATGGCGCAATTGGCCCAGCAGTGGCCTTTTCAAGAATATCGACCTGGTATTGCAGAGTCAGGGGCGCTGTACACCAGCCCCGCTTCGCGTTTTCAGACACTGGCTGTGCAGACCTTCGGTGGGGGCTGATCAATGAGAAGGGTGGTTCTAAGCGGGGGGGGTGGCGGAGGACCATCGGTGAGGGCAGGCTCTAGCAACGTCGGTTGGCCGCCAGGATCTAAATTCAAGGTCCATCTCCAGCGTTGCCCGTCCCTGGGTGGACAGTAACATACCGAGTGAACCGACCGCTGCGAGCGTGTTGACAGCCAGGGTCTTCGGCGAGGGCAATCGGGTCGAGGAGGGATCTTTGATTTGGGAAGGAGCGCCAGCAAGACCTTCGATGAGTGCCCCAACTTTGCAGGTTGGAGAATCAGATGCCGAGCGAGACGACCGCCACGAGCGAGTCGACCGTCTGGTTCTCGGTGAGGGCAGTAGGGTTTGTGAGGGGGGTATGGGGGACATGGGGTTGAGGTGGTGGGTTGGTGGGGGAGGAGCGACAGCAAGCCCCTCGACGAGGATAGACATCGCAAAATCTGCACCTGCAGGTTCGCCGCCATCGTTTTTATTCTAGATGGCTTCAGCTTCTGCCAGTTGGAGAGTGAGATGCCAAGCGAGACGACCGCCATGAGCGAGCCGACCGCCAGGCGTCCGGTGAGGGCGACAGGGTTTGATGGAGGCGGAGGTGGAGTGTTGCACATCGCACTGGATATGTTCATATATTCCCTCGGTTGGGGCATTTTTGAAATTGACTACCAGTTGCCCTCGGCGAGGGTTAGAACAGCCCTCGTTAAGGTCTTTGTCGCGGGGTGGATCGGGTTGTGGAGCTGGGCGGGGTGGGAGGGGATTGCCTTGCCGACGCCTGCAGAGCCAGTGCTCTATGCCCTCGCGGGCTTCTCCACTTCTTCGTGTCTCTTCGCGCTTCCTGCGCCGCTTAGTCTGCAGTGGGGATTCTTAGCGACTTACTTCTTGATCGCGCAGCCTCCGATTTTTCCGTTCCAAAAATGCAGCAACCTCGTCGCTAAGGATTGCCTAGCGTGGCAAGGAAGGTGGAGGCAGAATTCGGTCGTTCTGGCGGATGCGCGGTGCCCCAGGCGCTGGCCTGGCCATCGGACAACAATCGCCAGTGGAAACTCATACACCATACCCGTATTCGGCGGGATATCTTTTTCCAGCCTGGCCAGCAGCTCCAGCCAAGCCCTCATGCTTCGCAGAGCTTTCGGATACGTGCGGCCGCGAAGCGATCACACGTGGTACACATCAGAATTGCATTCGTCTCAAAGAAGAACTGGGCCTCGTGGTTTTAGACGGCTAATGGGTGAGCAGCAGGATCCAAGTCCACAGCGGCCCAATGATTCCAAGAGAGGTCTTGCCCTGATGACATGGCGCAACGAATTATGAATATGGCCTGGCCAAACAGGGTGACGGCCAACAAATATAGCGATAAAGGGAAATAGAGAGAGAGAGAGAATACTGGATGGAGGGAGTGAAGGAGGGAGACAGAGAGAGAAAGAGATATATCAGGCTTCGGTTGCCAAATGTGTTTAAGAGAAGTGGGATACGCCCTGCTCGTTCACTTGCTACTCACGCGGACGAAGGGGACGAAGAGGAGGACTAAGAGGAGGAGGATGAGCAGGAGGAGGAGGAATGGGAGGAGGAGGCGGAGGAGGAGGAGGACGACGAGGAGGAGGAGGCGGAGGAGTAGGAGGCGGAGGAGGAGGAGGAGGAGGAGGAGGAGGAGGAGGAGGAGGAGGAGGAGGAGGAGGAGGCACGGCGCCAGGACGACGCTTCACCAGATCGACCTGTGACCGCCGCTGCTTGTGGCGCCGTCTGGGCCGTTGCCCGCCGGACAGAGGACGCCAGGGTCGCTTCCGCGCGCAGGGCCACCGGCCACCCAACGCCGCGCCAATCCAGGGCGGCAGGGACGAGGGGAGCGGGCGTCAGAGGTGTTCGGACGCGTTTGTTCTTAGGGGACCCCAGAGGCATCCATCCAGGGACCCCGGGGGGCCTCTTGTAGATCTCCAGGGGGGACACGCTCAGGACCCGACTTCCCAGGTGACAGTGCAGCTGCCATGTGCCTCGTGCAAGTTTTTGGGCTCGGGATGGTTTCTGTGTTTTTTGCTTCCGCCACTCCTTGTTGTTGGTTTCTCGTCTTGGGCGCAGCACTTGCTGCTCACCCACTCCTCCCCCAGCCGCATTCCTTTCGTTTTCCATTATTCGCATCTCCTGCAATTCTCTTCGCCTTCCTTGTATGTCGTGATTTTCCTCGCTCCTCCTTCGTTTACTTGATCCCGATCGCTTCCCATCAGGGGGTGCTGCCACGCATGCAACTTTTGTCGCTCTCCTGCGCCCCATACGTAGGGGTTCTAACCGAATGCGATGTCGCGCAGACCAAGCGCGACCTCCCCGCCTGACTGCCGCCAGCCGTACAGCTGTCGTTGCTTTCTTGCCATGCGCGCCTGTGGGGTCCAGCGGAGTGCAGTGTCACAGCCGTACAGCTGTCGCAGCTTTCTCGCGCCCCTGGTCGGCCCAGCGGCGTGCTCGGCCTTACGCAGGCTACATGAGACCTCGCCTTTTTGCCCCGTGCGTCTCTCGCAGCTTTCTTGCGCCCCATGGGGCCCAGTGCAGTGTGGTCTTGCGCAGGCCAAGTGCGGCCTCGCCCTTTCCTGGGTGCTGCCAAGTGTCCAACTGCCGAAAACGTTCCCACGTCCCTGCGGGGTCTGGCGGAGTACGGTCTTGCACGGGCTAAGCGTGATCTTGCCTTCGATGGTGCTGCCAACTGGGCATGCCACTGGGGGTCCCTGCCGCTCGCGGTCTTCACCGCGCAAGCCGCATGATGCCTCGCCCTCCTGGGTGATGCCACCCGTGCAACTGCCGATGCTTTCTTGCGCCCCTGGGGGGTCCAGAGGTGTGATCGGCCGTGCGCAAACCACATGAGATTTCGCCCCCCTTGAGGCTGCAAACCTTGCGCCAGTCGACGCTTTCTTGCGCCCCTTGGGGGTTCAGCCGAGCGCAGCCTTACCCAGACCAAAGAAGACCCTACCCCCACGGGAGCTGCAAGCCGCGACACTTCCGTTCCTATACTGCGCCCCTAGAGTGTCCAGCGGAATATGGTCTCACGCTGATCCAAGCCATGATCCTGCCAACATCTCTCGGTTGGGTTGGGTTGGTTTTGGGTGCGTCCCCGGGTCAATATTCGGGGCTTTTGGGGGGGGCCTTCGTCGCCACAGCTGGATTCGCCTCACAACCCTGGTCATACAGCGCCCCTATCAAGGGTATTTAGAGCGACTTGTCGCCTAAATCTCCCAAGGCCCCTGGCGTCACGAAAGGTCAGGATGGCCGCTTTCTTGGAGCCTGCGCCTGCAGAGCCAGCGGCCCATTCGGGGCCTTGGGGCGCACAGAAAATTGCCTGCGGCGCGCAGCTCACACGAATGGTGAGGCCGATCGGGCGCCGAGTAACGGGGGTACGATCAGGGGGAGGGGGGGGGGGAAGAAATGTGCCTTATGCACCCAGAAAAGGGCCCTCAAGGCTTCCCCCTGGGGCCCCAAAGGGGTACGACATGTGCACGCTTCCCCGCCCCCCTTAATCGCGAGGTGGATGATGGAGTGCCTCTTTGTTCCAGAGGGGTGTTCGTAGTTTGTTTCCTTCCCTTCGTCATTCACCTTCTCTCTCTCTCTCTCTCTCTCCTCATTCTCTTCAGCTATTTCATCATTTTGCCAGCATCTGCACTCGTCACTTCAGCCTGCTATTTTTTTGCCATATGTCTTGCCCAGCCCTGGTAAGCCCTGCCACGCACTAGTAACATGTGCTACGCTTTGTTAAGCTTTGGTGCCCTCCTGGTAAGCCCTGCTCAGATCTGCTGAGCCATGCGCAGCCTTGCTCATCTGTGCCAAGCTCTGCTGGGCCCAGCGACGCTCTGGTAAGTCTTGGTCAGCCCAGCTAGACCATGCACAACCGGTTTAAGCTGAATTCGGCCTTGCCCAGCAATGCTACACGTTGTTCGGCTGATCAGCCTTGGTAAGGCCTTAACCCTGGATGCACCTTGCCACGCTCTGCTCAGCCCTGGTCAGCTATGCGAAGTCCTGCTAAAGTTTGGCAAGCCTTGGATCGCCTTGCAAAGCCTTGCTGAGCCCTGGTAATCTCTGGTACGCGCTGCTAAGCCTTGCTAAGCCTTGCTAAGCCTTGCTAAGCCTTGCTCCGCCTTGGCAAACTTTGTTCAGCCCTGCTAAGTCTCGCCGGGCATTGCTCAGCCTGTGCTAGCTTTGCGAAGCTCTGCGAGTCCTTGCGAAGCCTTAAGCCCTGCTGAACCTTGCTGAGCCCTGTTGAGCCGTGATGCTAACACTTGGTAAAGCTTGCGAAGCCTTGGTAAGACCTGCTGAGGCCTAGTATGCCCGACTATACCCTGCAGGGCCCTGCTAGGCACTGCTAAACCCTGGCAAACTCGGAGAAGCCCAGCAACGGCATGGTACGCTCTGCTCAGCCCTGGTCAGCTCTGGTACGCCCTGCTGAGCCCTGCTCAGCTTTGGTAAATTTTGCTGCACCCTATTAAGTTCAGCTAAGTCTTGCTAAGATGGGCAAGCCTTGCTAAGCCCAGCTGAGCTTGGTAAGCCTTGCCGGGCCTTGCTTAGGCTTGGCAAGCTTTGCGAAGTCCTGCTAATTCTTGCGAAGCCGTAAGCCCAGCTAAGCTTTGCTGAGCCCTCTTAAGCCCTTCTAAGTCTTGGTGGGCCTTGCTAAATCTTGGTAAGCCGTGCTAAGACGTTTGTAAGTCTTGCGGAGCCTTACTGAGCCTGCAAAGCAGTGTTCAGCCCTGGCAAGCTGTTCTGAACCCTGCTAAGTCTTGGTCAGGCTTGATTGGTTCTGCGAATCTCTGGTAAGCCTAGTTCAGCTCAGGTAAGCTATGCTAAGCCCTACTAAGCGTGGTGAGCCTCGCTCAGCTGAGGTAAACCCTGGTAAGCCTTATTATGTTCAGGTAAGCTTGGTATGCTTTGCTCAACCCTGCTGGACGTTGCTGTGCCATGGGAGATGATGCTCAGCCTAGCTGAGCGTCCCCCTTGCTTTTTTGTTTCTCTCTCTATATATCCCCCTTTTTTCTCTCGCTCTCTCTCTCTCTCTCCATTCCGTGGGCTAGACCATCAGTTTGCCAGCATCTCTTCTAACCAGCTCAGCGTGCCATTCGTTTGCCATCCCTCCCGGCTCAGCCCTGGTATGCCCTGCCATCGATAGGTAATTTGTGCCACGCCTTGCTAAGTTTTGGTAACCTCCTGGTAAGCCTGATGCTACATTTCAGCTGTGCGAAGCTCAGCTGGGTCCAACTAACAAGCCTTGGCCATCCCTGCTAAACCTTGCTAAGCTCTGCCAAGCTTTGCTCAGCCCTTCTCGGCTCCGCTAAGCATTGCAAAGGCCTGCAAGCCCTAGTTAGCCCCGAGCTTGGATCAACCTTGCCACGGTCTGCCCAGCCCTGGTAAAAACGTTGCTCAGCCGCCTAGCTAAGCCCTCGTAGACCCTGTTGAGCCATGCTAAGGTAAGTTCCGCCAAGCATTGCTACTCCCTGGCGATCTCTGCTAAGCCTTGCGAAGCGCAGCTGGGCCCTTGTCAGGCTTGGTAGGCTTTGCCAATTCGTGGTAAGGCTGGGTAGGCCCTGGTAAGTGGCTGGTAAGTTTTATTGAGCCCGGATGGGCCTTGCTAGGCTTTTGTAAGCAATGGTAGGTTCTGTAAAATGGCAGGGCGTCCTGGGCAGGGAATCCGAAGTCGGGAGGAGGAGAGAAAGGGGGGAGAGGGGGTATGTATGAGAGGGGGAGGAGGAGGAGAAGGAGGAGGAAAAGGAAATGGAGGAGGAGGAGGAAGAGGAGGAGGAGGAGGAAGAAGAGGAGGAGGAGGAAGACGAGGAGGGGAAGGAGAAGGAGGATGATGAGGAGGAGGAGGAGGAAGAGGAAAAGGAGGAGAAGGAGGAAGAGGAGGAGGAGGAGGAGGAGGAGGAGGAGGAAGAGAAGGAGTAAGAGAAGGAGGAGGAGGAGGAGGAGGAGGAGTGATGAGGAGGAAGACGAGGAGCAGGAGGAGGAGGAGGAGGAGCTGGAGGAGGAGGAGGAGGAGGAGAAGGAGGAGAAGGAGGACGAAGAGGAGGAGGAGAAGGAGGGGCAGGAGGAGGAGAAACAGGAGGAGGAGGTGAAGGAGGATGAGGAGGAGGAGGAGGAGTATCAGCCAGTTGTTTGCATTTGCTTCGCCCCCCCCCCCCCCCCCTCAAGAAAGAGCGAGAGAAAGAGAGATAGAGAGAGACAGAGAGAGGGAAAGAGAGAGAGAGAGAGAGAAACATAGAAAGTTTGAGAGAGAGAGAGAGAGAAACATCAACGGGATCACACATCCAGATCTTTTGGGCGGGCAGGGGAAGGAGGAGAACGCGGAGGGGGAGGAAATGTGTGTATGTGTGTGTGTGCGTGTAGAAGGGGGAGGTGGAGGGGGATGATGCTGATGATGATGATGATGCTGCTGCTGCTGATGATGATGATGATGATGCTGATGCTGATGCTGATGCTGATGCTGATGCTGCTGCTGATGCTGATGCTGATGCTGCTGCTCATGATGATGCTGATGCTGATGCTGATGATGATGCTGATGATGCTGATGATGATGATGCTGTTGATGCTGATGCTGATACTGATGCTGATGATGCTGATGATGAGGAGGAGGAGGGGGAGGAGGAGGAGCAGGATGAGTACGATAAAGAACATGATACATGTTATGTTCCCAGCACCCCCCCCTCTCCCCGAACAAGACAGAACATCGCAGATCCTCCACCCATATTATTTTGTT